TGGGGTTTCGGGTCTAGGATTTAGGGCTTAGGGTTCCGGGTTTAGGGCTTAGGGTTCCGGGTTTAGGGTTTAGGGTTTAGGGTCTAGGGCCGGAGCAGGCGGAAGTCCGACCTTGCACATGGTGTTCCAAGGCATGGCGCTTAGGGGTTTGCGGGTTTCGGAGTCTACTTGGAGGTTCATGGGACTTCGTAACTAGAATTATAAATCAGGAAACGATACCTGTAAGTACTTATAACCCCAATCAAGGTACTTACACCTTATTAAGTCCCATGAAGCCAGGGGCGGGGTAAGGGTTTTTGGAGTTAAGATTCCATTTTTTAGGGCCTGGCTTCGGGATTCCGGGTAGGGATTTAGGGTTCAGGGTCCCAGAAACTCCAATACCCCTTAATTAAGGAATATATCTTAAATTATGGTAGGATCCCTAATAAGATTTAAGGTATATTCCTTAATTAAGGCGTATTAGAGTCTCTAGGTTCTCCCTGAAAGTGAGATTGATACGGGGGGGCTTTACATCTGTCGGGCCCTTCTTGGGGGCCCTTGCATAGGGATTTAGGGTTTAGGGTTTAGGGGGCCCTTGCATGAAGCAGCCTACTAAACGGTGTTTGCATTGCAGCTCCTTGTTTTTGGAACTACCCAAGAGCAGGAAAGAAAGCCTTAGCTTTCCAATACCCAACCTTTAAACTTTTTGGGTTCTTATAATTTAGTAGTAATCTGAAAGTTTAACCTTTTGTTTCCCTGGCTTATTGGGGACGTAAGAAGCGGTCATGAAGGTAATGACAATGTAGAACGGATTTGTGACTCATGACTTCTGGATCGGCAGTTCTCTAAAGTTAGGGTCCCTTTTAGGGTCCTTTCTATAAGGGTACCGTACTATATTGGGGACCTCAAATTAAGGGACCCCAATTTAGAGAACTACCCAGATGTAACCGAACCCTAAGCTCTAAGCCCTAGCCTTCCGATTCAGATAGCCATGGCTTCAGCGAAATCTTCATACCTTGCATAGACCGCTTGGGAGAGCCCTAAAAGGTCATGGTTCGGGCGCTTGAGGGTTCGCAGCGTTACGCTTCGGCATGTTATTACCGTCCCACACCCTAAGCCCTAAGACCCTGGGAACCCGAACCCCCCAAACAGTCCCCTGGAACTTCACCAATTCCTACAGACCTTAAACCCCAAACCTTAAACCCTATAGGCCCTAGCCCTAGACCCTAAACTTTTAGGGCTGCCCCCGTGTGCGGCGGCGCAGCGTTTTGTGGGTTTCATCGTCAAAGCCAAGTAATTCGCCATTCGAACAAATCAATTTACTTTATAACCTTTCGTCGCACCACCAGCCAAGCCAACCGGCATCGAGTATGCGTGGGAAGCACGCAAACCTTTTGGGCAGCTTTGCTGCAAGCTTCGTCCCTCCAGGCCCCTAATTTCGGTTTGTTGGTGCGTGGGTACGGTTATAGAAAATGCAGGGGCCTAAATGAATACTGAATACCTATACTAATTTGGAGGCTCCTTATTAAAATCATAGTATAATGGGCCCCGAAACCCTATTCTAATCAGTAAGGCCCCTATATCCTGCGGTATCTTCTAAAAGAGCGCGGCACATCCTAAGACCTGAACTGATTCTTCAGGCGCGCACAGGGCAAAACCCTGGTAGATCCCTTCAAGAGCCCTTGACAAGGGATTCCAAAAACCCTAAACCCTAAACCCTAAACCCTAAACCCTAAACCCTGAACCGCACTGTAGACGGTGGGCCAGATCATAATGACACTAAAGAGGCCCTTAGAACCCTAAACCCTAAACGCCTAGACCCTAAACCCTAAAACCCTAAACCCAAAACTCTAAATCCTTACGAACCCTAAACCTTAAACCCCTAAACCCTAAACCCCTCAACCCTAAACTCTAAATCCTTACGAACCCGAAACCCCTAAACCCTAAACCCCTCAACCCTAAACCTTAAACCCTAAAACCCTAAGCCCTAAACCCTAGAGTGAGCCTTTGACTCCAGGCAACCCTGGCACGGGAAAGACTACCGTGGCCCGGGTCGTTGCAGACCTGCTCAAGGCCGGATCGCGGCTTTAGGGTGGGTATAGAGGGGCTTGGGATTTAGGGTTTAGGG